GGGCACTGTGTGTTAGGTGGGGTGGGCAGTGTGTGAGAGGTGGGGTGGGCACTGTGTGTTAGGTGGGGTGAGCACTGTATTGTTTCTGTGCGTGAGGGACAGGATCTGTATCCACCCCAGCCGCATAGCTGCGCTCTCCATAAGCAGACAAAGGTCTGTTTGTTGTTGCTCTTATCTGGGTGCTCATTTGCTGAGTAGATGTCCTTGGGCACGGGGGTGAGCAAAGCTTTGGACCGAAGGTAACAGACTTCAAAATATCTTCTTAATAGTGAAGACACATGTGCCTTGGAAGAATATCCTACCTAGTGAGTGGAGGGGGAGAGATAACGAGAGAGAGAGAGAGAGAGAGAGAGAGAGAGAGAGAGAGAGAGAGAGAGAGACTACCGACAAAAAGATAGAGTGAGCTGAATCCGGTTCCTTCTAGTAACAGGTGCCCAGCCCCGTCTTTCCTCTCTTTTTCTAGTGTGTCTGGCCAAATGTCATTTTTCCTATAATCCCCAGATAACTATTTTAATTAAAATCTACAAAAAATATCCAATAGCATGTGTTTTTTCCTCTTCTTGGGAAATCACCTAGACTTGTACAAATGAACCTTGCCCATTGTAGGCTGTCTGTGGGCTTGGGCTCTCAAGGTAGGGTGGGCTCCGGTTACCTTTGGCGCGGTGACAAAGTGATCCCACCTCTGCCCCATGGACTTGTCCTTGTTGATTTTCTTTATTGTGCTCTTGCTGCCACCTGGGTCCCTGCGTGACAAACAGCTTAATGAGTTTTCAGTTTGCGGTCTTGGTTTATTACAAGTCCCCACCCCCATCATACAGGAACACAATAAATTCAGGCTGAACAAACGGTCTCTAGTATGATTTTTCTCCCCTTACTGCTTTGTTTTGGGAGACGGAGCAGTTATCCCTAGGTGGAATTTTTCGGGACAAAAACACCCAGGGCTAAGAGAGACCCCCGCTTTCCTGGGTGAAGACTGTGGGAGGCTGGGTGTATTTGCATGAGTTCTGGACTTGGGCTCTTTTATGGAGTGAGTCCAGGGTGAGGTTGCGGTTACGGTGGTGGTGGACAGATAAATGTCCTCCTTTCTGCATTTGTGCCTTGTTCGCTCATCACTGGCACCAGCATCAGGAACACTTAGGAGTATCCGAGAGCGCAGCGCGACCGGATGTCCCGGGAGGATGGTGTGGGCGTGCAGAGTCACGCAGTGAAATCGCTGGTTTGCACTTACTGACCAGAGTCACTGGAGCGCTGTGTGCCAGATGCTTCTGGGCTCTCGGGGAATCATCTCCAGCGCTGCCACCTGAGCCAGAGTCATTAGCACCGCACTCTGTAGCTCAGGAGAGGACCAGAACTCCGGCCCCTCCCTCACCCTCACCCCCCAGGTCCCTGCCATGGGGGTCTGTACATCTCTTATTCTGTGATCCTCAATTATTTTTATTAGAGTGCCCTCCTCTTCAGCATCGTATTCTTCCCTCATGGCCTGGAAACTTTCTGGATAAAGACTAAAGCCCAGCAGGCTTTGTGGGCGACTCCTTCCTCACAGAAGTGCCACCAAATTTGTCACGCTGGCATTTTTGAATGCGATATGTTGCGTGTGTTTTTATAACCCCTCCAATGGGCCTGGGGCAGACTCTTACAAATACATTAACATGCCTAGAATAAAGTAAGTGCATAGTGAAGGAAATAAAGACTCTACATTTGGGGTTCCATGTCAAGTTTCAGTTTGGTTCAAGTCTGATTTTTGTGGTCAAATGAGTTATGAAAAAACTGAGTTTTTAGAGTCTTGAGATTTTGAATTTAATGATTATGGGGTCTTGGGTCTTTATTGATACACAAACGAGGAATCTTATTGTGTGAAATAACTTCTTGTATAGTCAATCAATTGACTATTCAAATCCCTCTATTCTTTCATTCTCTATCCATCCATCTGTCCTCTCTCTGTCTGTCTATTTATCATCTGTCTATTTACCTTCCCATCCATCTATCTACCCATCCACCCATCCATCCATCCATCCATCCATCCATCCATCCATCCATCCATCCA